GCTTTTCTCTGTCACTCTCTGGGATTAGAAATGCAGGGAGTGGGAGGTGGACAGGGTTAATACTCATTAATTTTTTGTAAGTTGTTTTATGCAGTATGATGTACTTTATTATGTATGATGTATTTTATTATTCACCTATCCCAATTAAATTTTTCTCCACTTATAGTTAAATGTACACTTAATGTACAGGTATGCCTGTACAATTGTACTGTATGTAGTTCAATGCAACACTTCCACCTAAACATCTGTGTTTATGAAGCTCAAAATGTTTGTTTTTGGTGAAATTGTTGCAAAGGTATAAATTTCATTATATGTTTATTATTGAGATCATAGTTAAAGGCGGTGTTGTACTGAACTTCATTTTATTCAGAGGTGTCCCTCTATTTTTGTCCTCCCCATGAGAGGGTCAGAATATTACAAACACTATAGGAAAAAAGCATTGTACTGTATTTCTTCCTTAATGCTGAGCTTTTTAGCTGTAAAATACATTTAATTTGCTTTAGATATGTTTGCACTCCCTTTCCCACTTGGAAAGGGGTGTACAAACCTTTGGCTGGTAGTGTAAGCCTATAAAGTATGCCATATAGTAAATTGTATACAAAAATGTTTTATATGGGCTAGAATTCAAAATAAATATTGTATCATAAGAACTGGTTGGGGCAACCACAGGCTAAGTGAAAGAATTATATTCATCATATCTTCTCTTCAGTGCAAAACTGGTAAAAGACTAATGTGGAGGCATCAAAAGCCCTTTATACACAGAGATCACTGCAAACTGCTGGTGTTTTGACCCTTCTTCAATGTGGAATATTTTATTTAAGCCCTTTATACTTAATGTTCCACTCTAGAGACATTTTAATATTTATATTTGCATATAAAAATACTCTGCTATAAATAATTTATAGCCTAACATAGTTTTTCTGCAAAAAACTGAAGCAGTATAGCAGTTTATGTTTGAGCCTCTTTCACTCATTACATAGCAATACTGTATAAAAGAGATAAGTCAAATGTGCAAATGAATTTACAGTCTGGCTGAGAGTCTGATAGCTTGTCTTTATTTTCTCAGTTGGTCCAACATGTCATCTATCAAGCAGACTGGATTATTAGCAGCAGGCTGTTTGCATGCAGTTTGACTACTAATACTGTAGCGTGAGTTAGCCAAATGTAACATTTTAATTTTCTGATGATACTCCAGTGTGTCTACTACTGTCCCATAAAGTTTGATTGTATATCAGCATCTTTTTATTTTTTCACATGATCCTAAATGTAATCTAGTACACTTACCAGAGAGCCTTGTTGTATTAGCAGCAGCCAAATGTAACTGTTAATATTACATTCCAACAGCGGTACATCTCTACATGTCTACTACATATCTCATACCATCTCATAATGTTAAACAGTATGTCATTATCTCTTTATTATCTCAGCTGATCCAAAATGCAACCTTAATCTAACATTAGTACTTAACACAAAAGTATGCTGTTGGGACTCGGTTCAACAATGAGCCAAGCCTAGCCTTCCCTGTTATATATCTGCTTTGCTGTTAATACCCCAGCAGTGATAAGTGTCTTATACTGTCTTGTAATGTTTGATAGTATATCAGTTTATCTTTATTTTTGTTCGAGGCTACGTCGACCATTAGCACGAGGTTAACAGTTAGCTTTAGCAGTGAGCCAAATAATGCTAGTTGTTAAATGCCAGTAATAGTTGCACATCTCATACCATCTCATAACATTTGATAGCATGTCAGTATCTCTTCATTTTTTAAGTTGATCCAAGAATTAATATAGTAACATTAACAAATAAAATGGCTTGGAAGTGGGCTGACACTGCCCCCTATAACAGAAAAATGTGAAAACACCCTATTACTGAAAAACTGTGCACACACACCAGTTCATACAATAGAAGTCTGACATTTTAGAGCATATAAACATAAAAACAACATGCTTCTGAGCTTAGGGGGGGTTTAACTCAAAAAAGCTGGCAAGCTGATGCCCAGCAAATAGCTATTGGAATCCTAGCATTTAGTGTTGCTCAAAGGGGACTTCCTATATAAAGTCCCCTGAGATGATTGTTGTTGTGAATTGGTGCTATACAAATAAAACTGAACTGAACTGATGCTTAAGGTTACATCTAACTTCTGCTGTTCTTGCCAATCTCCTCCTTCACTCTCTAGCTCTCTCTCTAGCCCATTTTACACTGCCCATTCGATGCAGGATTCTTCTGTCAGCTTTCCGCTTCACCGTTCTGTGTAAAAGGTACAGTCCCAGAATGGGCGGTCAAACATGACCTTCCAAAATGCAAGACGTAGTACTTTTGCCAAGACGAGTTCGTCCCATCTTCTGAATAAATGGGACAATGGAGAATGGAGGTCTATATGTCTGTGAGAGAGCTAAGGAGTGAATGAGGAGAGAGCTGTGTCAACCAGAAGAACACGATTCAGAGAAATAAAACTTTATTTTTTGATAGTTTATTTTTTGATTGTGGTTACATTCTAAAGCACAACTAAACATAGCTACACCTCTGCACAACCCTGTGGGAAGGATCTTGTGAATGCAGCTAAAACCTATGCTTCTGTCTGTTCTGGAGCAGGGGCTTCATGGAATGGGTTTCCATGTCAGAACAGATCCATGCAAGCCTGACATCACCAAATCCAATGCCAAACATCAGATGGAGTGGTGTAAAGCACACCACCACTGGACTATGGAGCAGTGGAAGCATGTTCTGTGGAGCGACAAGTCACGCTTCTGTGTTTGCCAGCCAGATGGGCGAGTCTGGGTTTGACAGATGCCAGGAGAATGTTACCTGCCTGACTGCATTGTGCCAGCTGTGAAGTTTGCTGGAGGAGGGATAATGGTATGGGGCTGTTCTTCAGGGTTTGGGCTAGGCCCCTCACTTCCAGTGAAGAACAGTCTTAACACTTCAGTGTACCAAGACACCTTTAGCAACACTATGCTAACAACTTTATGGAAACAGTTTGGGGAAGGCCCTTTTCTATTCCAGTGTGACTGTGCCCCAGCGCACAAAGCAAGGTCCATAAAGACATGGCTGGATGAGTTTGGTGTAGAAGAACTTGACTGGCCCACACAGAGCCCCAACCTCAACCCCATCAAACACCTTTGGTATGAACTGGAATGGAGATTGTGAGCCAGGTCCTTCTCGTCCAATATCAGTGCCTGAGGTCATAAATGCTCTACAGAATGAATGGGCACACATTCCCACAGAAACACTCCAGAATTTTGTGGAAAGCCTTCAAAGAAGAGTGGAAGCTGTTATAGCTGGAAAGGGGGGAAAAACTCCATATTACAGTCTATGTATTTGAATGCAATATCATTAAAGTCCCTGTTGGTGTAATGGTCAAGCATCCCAATACTTTTGTCCAAATAATGTATATCAAACTAAATCAAGTAACAGCCTGTTTGTTTCATTTTCAAACTGAGCACGAAATACATGGATTGTCAGACATCATGATAAGCACCACACCTCCAGATTTCCCCCCACCCCGCCACCCATGTCTTATGTTCTTGAACATGATTGAAACAGGATAAAAAATACTCAAACTGGCAGATGACGGCAATGACATGACAAAGAATAGAAGCTGAATAAAGTTACATTTCAGATAGAAAACTATATTAATATTACTACAATTGTCTTTAAATACTATAATTAAAAAAAAATTGTCCTCTCTCGGATGACTGTGGAACATTTCGCCTTAGGGCATGAAAATGTCTAGAAACAGCCCTGTACCCATCTATCCATATTTTTGCATTACATTAATTTGGCAGGTGCTTTTGTTCAAAGTAGGGCATTAGTATCATTAAGGCTTTATATATTAGCACTCTAACAGATGCACCAACAGTCTGGTACTTTATTACTGTTGCTTGTTGGTTCCTCCTTTAAAGAAAAAAATAAGCAAAATATAATATTTTTAAAAATGATATTATAAACTTAAAAAGTCTTTAACAAATCCCAATAATACTTGGTGGAATTAGGCCTTAAAATCTCAAAATCACCAAATTAGGTTTGTGTCTGGCCAACCACGTGCATGTAGTTAGCTTCAGGTTTTAACTTGTCATAACTATTATTGGCCTAACAAGTTCCATATACCAAAAGCTGTGGAAGAATATTGGGCCAGGAGTTTTAATGTAAGCATACCATAATTCATGCTTGTGTTTTTATGACACTGTCGATCTTATTGGCAAGTTATGTTGTACTTATGGCATGAAACCCTCAAGACTCAGAAGAACTGAGGTAAGACTGCATGCATGACCAAATTACACAATAACCATATTTTCTGCTCTGTAAAATCTCACTCCCTACTCTCTTGAAATACTGAGAGAACCGTCCTGGAACTGACTCGATATTTTTACTAATTCAGAACCATTCCCCAGCCAGACCAAGATCTTCATGTCTAGTCTAATGTAACTTAAATGCAGGCACATTTTGCCACATATATTCCCATATCTACTGCATGACAGGTTACATAAAGCAGTATTTGGTAGAATACACTCGTACATATATGGATAATTTAGAGCCAATATTTCAATGACTAGAAAGTAATAAAATGGCAGACAGTGGTGTGAAACTGACAATTTTATGCTTTCTGCACCTCAACTTATCATCATTATGCTGATAAATTATGTCAAACAATGTAATAAAAAAACAGAATGTGACCATGAGTGTGCGGAGTCAATGTAATGGGACTACAAGAAATGACTCCCTAGTTATAGGCCCTAGAGAAAGAATCTGTCAAGGAAACATGAGAATCAGAGAGGAAACACTGCAACAAGCACCATCAAATCTCACTGTTTCTTTGAGGAAAAGAATCATTTTATCTGGGTAGGGTGGTACTAACAGGTCAGTAGGCAATGTCCAGATTGGACTGGAGATGAGGATTTGTTAGATGACATGTGACTGAGTGTAGTGAAAAAACAAGGATATGGTATGTTTACAGTCTGAATAGCAAGAATGTATGAAAAGACTTTTGAGCTTGCACATACCTGACACCTCTAGAGCTTTCACTTTCAGATCTGTAAAGACAAAGATATCAATCAGGAGGGGTTTGGAACTAAAATCAAATAATGAAAAATACTAAGAAATATTTTAAAATAGGGTTTGCATGTGTTTCATAGTCTGCATATTTTGCACAGATGATGTGAACCTACATCTGGCTACATCTGAAAATGAAAAGCATAATGCTGCATTACTCAACAAAATGAGAGACGAAACAACAGCAACACAAAATTCCACTTGTCTGAATCACTTTCTCATACATAACTGAAGGCAGTTCAATGCAAAGATAAGCTGCCAATTAAACTAGTGAAACTGCCTTCTTTGCTTTTCTAGACCAGAAGGTCAAGAACAGTTAAATCCCCATGGCCAGCAAGACAGAAACGTCGACTATCAGAGATCCAGCATACGAGTTTTTACATCTACAGACTTATTTTATAACTCTGCTGCAGAGGATTTACCTCGGCACTGTCAACATATTCTTCTGACACCTTCAAGCAATTTTAGCCTACATCAAACTAAAATGTTCTGGGCAACTTGTATGCCCCAGCTCCACATTTTCCTCTAATCCTAATCTAGTTAAGAACATTTTTGACATGAAATCAACAAGAGTTGGCAGATTCCTTTTTCTGCATCTTCATCTCAGTGCAGCAGATTCTGTGGGAAGCTGGCATATAAACACACAAGAAATTACAAGCTGAGAAAAGCAAAGAGACCTATCTGGTTCTTTAACCCTGAGCTGACATCTGGCCAGGCTATGGAGTGAGAGATGCCAGCATGACTGTGGGTCACCACAGCTTCCAAAGAATGTCATGTCAGAGACCAGCAGCCACATAACTGGATAGATCCTTATAAAGCACTGGAAAAATGGAAGTGGGATATTCCATTCTTTAAAGGGAACCAATAAAATGCATGGAGGACAAACTGACTGTGATGTCTGTCAACTTGACTAGGGAGAGGAAAAAAAAACAAAACTTCAACATAGCTTCTGTTGGACCACCTGAAAGCATGTAGCCAGCCAACCTTTGCTTGATGGACTCCTTCATTATGCCCAGATTGTTATTCATAACCCACCAAATCCAGCTAATAGGGTGCTTGTCTTTCCTCACTCTCCAAGTATCAGCGTTTTGGCTTCCAGAGCTCAATACTGAACTAATAAGTGTGATCTATCAGGTGTATTGACTTCCCCTCCATTGAGGTGGGTGAAACAAACTGGCAGAGGTAATGCTTTGACACCTTCATCCATGCTGTTTATACAGACAAAGCTAGTGAAGCATAGCAAATCCTTTACTAATGGTACTCCATCTGTATAAAACTGCTTTTATGAGACACTTTTGAACTTCATTTGTCAAAGCAGAGCCAGCACAATGAGGGAAGTGTTAGAAGGGGATGGGTGGGAGTTCATCAGAAGAAACAAGGTACACAAGAACTGACTGAAAACAAGACGGGATGCCCAAACGAAATCATAAGCTGTCAATATGAGCTGTTGAAAAAGATTACGCTGTCCTTTGTGAAAAGCAAAATCAAGGGCAGATTGTAAACAGAGAGGCCCCGGCTGATGGTCTGACTTGAGAGCTCTGGCCCTGTCAGCAGCAAATGGAGGAGAGACTAGGAAACTCCCCTTTAAACTAACAACTTGGAAAAATTTGATGTAGCATTCAGGTACAGCTGCAGAGATTAGGAATGCTGGTCTGATAAACCCCCAGTTAATGATATCATCTGAGGATGAGAGATAGCCAAGGTTTCCCCTGAATTTGCCTCCAGTTACCAAAGAGTGAAGTGCTAAGGCAGGGTTATCTCTGATGGCAGCAGCACCAAATGCACCACACTGTGGGTGCATGGAGACCACAGCACATAACTACAGTGATTTACTGCTCTTGTCTATAGGGTTTTTCCTTTAAGTTATATGTCCACATAAGCAGGGGGTTCTGCATGTTGTTGGTGTGTTGGGGTATTCCATATCCTAAAGAGCTACAGTTTAATGCATTAGATGTGCACTGTAATCTGACATATAAAGCTACCATACCAAGTCCTTGCTCTGGATGCTCCACAGACCTTGTTTCAGTTAGTTTGGTACAAAGTGCTATCACAGTAAACAGCAATTTTTTAATGTTGTAATCACCTGAAATGAAATTCATCCATCTCCACTGTCATAAGGTAGAAGCACAAATCGCAGTACCCAGAAAAGTAAAACTAAAGCAATCTGCACTCATCCTACAAAAGGTGAGTGAGAAGATAATTTTTTGTTAAAGTGCAATTGTTAAAGGTCCCAGAAAAGATGAGCCCTAAATCACATCTTGCCAATCCTCAATTCTCTGTAATAGTTCAAGTTATGTGACTAAACAAGATCCACTTCTCCTGAGCAGTAATCAACACTTTGTCATCAAACAGCAACATTCTTGTTGTATCCTCCTTCCTGATGGATGAGTCCTCATTGCATGACCTGTTTTGTTCATATTGAAAGAGGGAGCATGAAGAAGGGCAACTATAAGAGAGCATGAAAGCACAGGATGTGACAAATAACACCCACAATGCCTGACTAATTGAAGAGAAAATGAGGGATCAAGTCCTGTTGCCAGAGCAGATGCTTTTTAATGGAAGCAAATTAAACTGAGTTGTTTGATATGGTATATTAACACAGTGAATATACAGTATGTTAGCTGCTAATAAATCAGCTGGCAACTTGGGTCTTGAATTGTGTCTGAACAGCAACAGAACATTGATGCGAAAGACTGCCACACAGCAAGCCAAAGGCCAAAGAAGCTTTTGGCTACTTGGGGCTAATTGCAAGCTGCAGGAAAACACCATACTGACACATTATCAATACTACCAGTAGTTAGGCCTACTGTAGTTCAGTTAATGTGTTAGTAATAGCCTTTTTACATAATTATGACATGAAGCAACATTATCATTCATACATTATCAGCCATGTTCCTGGGCATCGTGAATGTAAGCTCAATATTCACTCTTCTTTTAGCTCTGTTTTTGGTCTTCACCACCTTTTGAGAACAATATCTGCCTCTTTAGCTTCTAAAAGTCATTTTGTGATAACAGTTTTCTCATTTCTTTTTGTTGTGAATAGGGCTGGGTGATATATTGAATTAATTTGATTAATTAGATTTTTTTGTTTTTGAGTAAAGTGCTTCCTCTGCTATCCCTAAAATGCCAACATCAGCAGTTATCTGGAGTTACAACATTAATGTAAGCTGTCACCATTTACTTGGAGACACTTGCAAGTGTGAGCTTTGCCAGTCAACAAACTTGGGTAATGGTGGCTGCAGCACCTAAAGACAACAAAATAATAAAGAATGGCAGTCATGTACCTCAGTGATATGAAAATAGTTTTCCAAGATCCAATGTGGAACATAGCACTGCACTGTGTAGTAAAAACGTTTGAACTAAAAGTGGCAGCACAACAAACCTGTTCCATTAACTGAGTCAAAAGCATGAAGCGAAAGAGTAATTTGTGTGGACATTTTGATGCTAGTTCCTGTCCCAATTCCAAAACCACAGCTATAAAGCAGCAAATGTTAGGTGCCTGACTTTTTAGTGTCGCCCAGTATGACAAGACAGGACACTGGTTTACAGAAGCATTGGTATATTATATTGGGAAAAACATGGTATCCATTTACGTGGTCAAAAAGGAGTGTTAGAGGTAGGGTTGGCAACTCTTTTCATAAGCATTTTTGTTACATATTTTGAAATTCTCTTTTAATCCTGATGACAGTGAATACATTAAATGCACTGACAACATAAAGAAACAAATCCACCATCTGTGGCAGTAGCAGGGCTGAAAAAAGCCTGACCAATAATTTTACTCATCCCAAGCATAACCACTGGATGGCCTACCTGCCTGTCAACCTACTTCCTACTTGCGCGCACTCTGCCCGTGCACTCAATGTGCGGGGCAAGAGTCTCCCACAAGGCATTGCAGTTTTAGGCAGATGTGTTACCGCTCTGTTTTACAGCTAAAGCTAGTGAGCTATAGCAGAGAGGGTCCGAACAGCAGCTTAACATTCACAAACGGACACAGTTGTTACAGGCCAGACCGTTCTCTTTAAGACATGTAGCCTTATAGGTAATGTTATTGCCAGAAGACACTACTTGTGTGCGCAGTATGAGTGTGAGAAGACCGCTGCATAGAAAACACTCATTTTACATGCAGCCAGACAGTAGTCAGCTACAGTGCCTTGCAAAAGTATTCGGCCCCCTTGAACTTTGCGACCTTTTGCCACATTTCAGGCTTCAAACATAAAGATATAAAACTGTAATTTTTTGTGAAGAATCAACAAGTGGGACACAATCATGAAGTGGAACGAAATTTATTGGATATTTCAAACGTTTTTAACAAATAAAAAACTGAAAAATTGGGCGTGCAAAATTATTCAGCCCCTTTACTTTCAGTGCAGCAAACTCTCTCCAGAAGTTCAGTGAGGATCTCTGAATGATCCAATGTTGACCTAAATGACTAATGATGATAAACAGAATCCACCTGTGTGTAATCAAGTCTCAGTATAAATGCACCTGCACTGTGATAGTCTCAGAGCTCCGTTTAAAGCGCAGAGAGCATCATGAAGAACAAAGAACACACCAGGCAGGTCCCAAGACCTGGCCGTCCCTCTAAACTTTCAGCTCATACAAGGAGAAGACTGATCAGAGATGCAGCCAAGAGGCCCATGATCACTCTGGATGAACTGCAGAGATCTACAGCTGAGGTGGGAGACTCTGTCCATAGGACAACAATCAGTCGTATACTGCACAAATCTGGCCTTTATGGAAGAGTGGCAAGAAGAAAGCCATTTCTTAAAGATATCCATAAAAAGTGTCGTTTAAAGTTTGCCACAAGCCACCTGGGAGACACACCAAACATGTGGAAGAAGGTGCTCTGGTCAGATGAAACCAAAATCGAACTTTTTGGCAACAATGCAAAACGTTATGTTTGGCGTAAAAGCAACACAGCTCATCACCCTGAACACACCATCCCCACTGTCAAACATGGTGGTGGCAGCATCATGGTTTG